ACATTTCTCCCAAGAAGAAATATAAATGGCCAAGAGATATATGAGATGATGCTCAACTTCACTAGCTGTTAGGGAAATGCAAATCAAGACCACAATGAGATACCACCTCACACTTCTTAGAATGGCAATTATCAACAAGACAAGTAATAAGTATTGGAGAGGTTGCAAGGAAAAAAGGAACCCTCGCACACTGCTGGTGGGAATGTAAACTGATACAGCCACTATGGAAAACAGCATGGAGGTTCCTCAAAAAATGAGGAATAGAGTTACCATCTGACCCAGCAATCCCTCTTCTGGGTATATACCCCAAAATTTTGAAAACATTTATCCATAGCAATATTTGTACCCCTATGTTCATTGCAGCGTTATTCACACTAGCCAGGACATGGAAACAACCGAAGTGTGCTTTGATAGATGATTGGATAAAGAAGATGTGGTACATATGTGCAATGGGATACTACTCAGAAATAAGAGATGAAATACTGCCATTTGTGACAATATAGGTGGATTTTGAGAATATCATGCTAAGCAAAATAAGTCAGAAAAAGTTGAGAACCATATGATTTCACTCATATGTAGGATACAAAACTGAAAGCAACAAACAAAAAAAAAGACAAAAAATCTCATAGATAGACAACAGTATGGTGGTTACCAGAAGGAAACGGGGGAGGTGGAGGTAAAGAGGGTAAACGAGGTCAAACATATAATGATGGAAATAGACTTGACTTTGGGTGGTGAACATACAATGCAATATACAGATCATGTTTTATACAACTGTACAATTGAAACCTATGTAATTTTATTAAACAATGTCGATTAAAAGAAAAAGATAATCTATATCAAGTGTCTGGAACACTTCAAGCATTTAACATATGGTACTGATCAATATTTCTTCTGGGTTTGCCAATTTAAATAACGTTTCATACATAATTCCTCAAATCATACATAATTCAGGGTGGCAAGTTATATGTGGGCTTTATAAATTTAAGATATTAACCCCTCATCAAAGGTGTTGCCTAGTGAAGGAACCTATAGTCAATGGGCCCTGGTTACTAAAGCAGCCTTCTCTCATTTGAGGAAATCTTGTGCAATTATCCAATGTAAAAACAAAAATTATATATATCTGATTTTGAGGATATTTTGATTTTTGGAATTTGGCTAAGCACAGGCAATTCTGATGAACAGCTTTTCTACAGGAGAACCCCGTTAGCCCCATCCTTTTTCAGTCCTCATTGTCCACTGAATTAGGAAAACTTTGGAATACTACAGGGCCAAATGAGTTCCACCAGCATCAAAGCTGCAAAATCTTAGGAACCTGCTAATGTAGATGGGCAGAGGGCAAAACGCAGGAGCGAAATCCTTTGCAAAATCTAAACTTGCGCCACAGAATGGAATATTACTCAGCAATAAAAAGAAATGACAAACTGAAACATGCCACAACATGGATGAACCTTGAAAATACTGTGCTAAAGAAGCCTGGTTCAAAAATTTCATATTGTATGATTCCTTTTATATAAAATACCCAGAACAGGTAAATGTATAGGGAAAGTTGATCAGTGGTTGACTAGGACTTAAAGGGGCTCGGGAGTGACAGCTAATAGGTACAGGTTTTTTAAGGAGGACGAAAATGTTCTAAAATTAGACTGTAATGATGGTTGCACACCCTGTGAATATAATAAAAGCCTTGGATTGTAAGCTTTAAATGGGTAAATTGTACAGTATATGACTTATATTTCAATACAGCTATCTTAAAAATCTAACTCATTAACTGATTAGTGGATCCTTTATCCTTTGTTGCCTAGAGAAATATCCTCTCCATTAAAAACTAAAAATAAGAGTTCAGGGTGCTGTCTTGGGTTTAAAGCTATAAAATATCTTGGTTTTGGAAATATTTACCTTGCTTTTGCATTTATCATCTCCACTTTATTTCAACAGCAGTCATTTTATTTATTTATTTTATTTTATCTTATTTTATTTTTAAGGCGAGGCAACCTTTGGTTGACCTCACAGATTGCAAGGACCTTGTCAGTTTACAATCTCTTCTTTTTTATTTTTTACTTACAATCCCTTCCTTTTTATTTTTTATGCCTACAGCACCTGGTCTTCCTAGGTGGTCTCCCATCCAAGTACTAACCAGGCCCAATCCTGCTTAAATTCCGAGATCACACGGGATCAGGCTTGTTCAGGGTGGCAAGGTTGGAGACCAACAGCGGTCATTTTAGATAAACACTAATGATTGCAAAATTCTTATGCAAGGCTAGAAAAATGCAATATTTATCTGTACTCAAACTAAATCCTACAGATTACATTTTTTATTGCTCCACAGCAATGATTATTCCCTAGCGCAAACTGACCACCTTTGTTAGCAATCTTCTGATTACTTGCTACAGAGACCTTCAAACAAGTGGTGCTCCACTTTCCCAGGTTCCCTTTGTTCTCCTGTGAAATACAGGAAGTACTGCATAACAACAAGAGGCAAAAGAGTCTTCCCTGCTAAATTGGCTAAACCCATCTGTTGGAGACCCAGTGAAATCAATGTATTCACCAAGTGGTAATGTTACTGGAGCAAACTAGGGAAGAGATTACCTCGCTCTTGACTAGGAGATGAAGGGGATGGTCTTAAAAACCTAACCAGACTAAGGAATCTATAGTCTGGAATATGTTTACTGATTGCAAAGCATACCTGTATTTCAGGGTTTTTCCAAGCTTTTGTTTTTTAAGTTTAGAAGAGCTTATATCTAATCAATATGCCAGTTACTGTGGAGAAAGACTAAAGTGTAGACCCTCAATCCTTGCCCCTCAGATTCTAAAATCTGAGGAGAAATTAAATACATTCACATGAAGAGACTTAAGAATAACAAGAATAAAAATATTCTATCAACACACATTACTATACAACACTTAAACTACTTAATTGGTTATGAAGAGGAAGATGTTAAACGAACATTAGTACTAGAAAGTAGGCAATGCCTCCCTAATGCAGCCTGCTACTTGCTTTTATTCAAAGACTGCACAGGATTGAGTAAGCCATTCTATAGGGAAGAAAACTTATACACTTATACATAGAATTAATTCTAAACTCCTAATTTTGGTTGAACAAATTATCTACCTATTTTTAACACAATTTAGGCCCTATTTATTCAAGTGTCATCTCTGCTGGTTTTTCAAATTATTTCAGTTCACCCCAACGGATAAAAGAAACTGCTTAAGATGAGCTACTCTTAACAGTCTTTGTTTTTCAAAGATTCCCTGAATTTGAAGGGATAACGAAAGTATTTCAAGATTCAGGGATAATGAAAGTATTTCAAGATCCAGGTTACAAACAACTTGAACATTTCTCTGCTTAAGGACTTAAAAAAGAGAGTTTTTCCAACAATCAAAGGTCAACTGAACTCAACGATATTTCACTTTATGACACTATAATCCTCTCTGCTATATTCGTGTTCTAGTTCAAATTTCATTTCTAAATCTCTTAAACATTTCCCTTCATTTGTCAAAAATCCTCCTCGGGGGTCAAATCTTTTCAATACAAATATTATGAAATGACAATGTCACATCACTTGACTTTTACTATGGACTCATATAGATGACTTGGACCATTTGAGTTATTAGCCACTATAGTCAATTTTAGATTATGTTTTTAAAAGCTGTTAACATTAGCCTTTGCTTACAAATTACAAAACTTCACCTTGAAATGCGATTTCCTAAGGCACTGGAGTTTTGTGTAATTTCTTCGAAAATCTGCAATCAACTTTTCCAAACCTCTCAAACAAGAACGTGGGCAAGCCAACAGTGAAATTAAAATCTTGATTATATTCAAGTTGAGCACTTCACTTTTTTCAAATAATATTTAAAAGAAAAAAACAGTAAGTGATGTTTTTTTTAATGAATACTATACTGTTAATAGCTGCTTCCCATTGTGGACGGAGCTCTTACATATCCATTTCTACTTGAGATGTTTTCTTTATGTTGCTGCCTCAAAAATGTTATTTAAATGTTTTGTAATAAACAAAGAACATGAACATTACTTGGGCCTAGTCTGAAAGCAACTCCTAACTGCCCCAAAATTCAGTAATAACATCAGAGAACAACCACAGCACACCATTTGGTTTAAATAAATAAATAAATAAAAGAACGAAAAATAATGGAAAGAAAAGCAACAAAAAAGGCAGAAAAGGAAGAAAGTGCAAAATTACCCTGCAAGTATTTTTTTAACTTCTCCAATCTGATCCTTCTCTACCATTTTTAAAATCCTCCAACTATTTTGAATAAGATCCATTTGTTTAGCTCATTCTGCTTAGGAATACGTTTTCCTACAAATGTCCTTCTGCTAAAAGTATTTCTGATTTCTGTATGAAGAGTTACCGTTTTGCAGAAGCAATAGTTCTTACTAATCATTAGGACTCCAAATCAGTTTAGTGAGGACTTAAAAAAAAAAAAAAAACCTGTGTAAATTATATGAAATTGGCAGATCCAAATAACAGATGAGGAAAGGTTCCAAAGAGTACAAAGACTTCGGAAATTCTACGTCTTCTTCCTCCAGTCTCATTCCAAAAAAGTCACAGAATGCATTTCATCCTTAGCACAGGGCCAGTGTCCAAATCAAACAAAAAACTTTGAAAACACTCATAAGGGGCGAACCAACGTGGGTAAAGTGTAACTAAGAAGGCAGAAAGAAGACGCCAGGCCATGGACCCAGAACGGCTTAAAGGACACAAGCCCCAGTGAGTTCAAGCCAGCTTTCTTCCGCACCCACCAAGTGGCATCTTAGATTCGCTGAGTTGGGCCAGCATTTAGAAACTCTACAAGTCTAGGTAAACCAGAGATGGCTGCGGGGCCAGGGAGGTACATGGGACGCAGGAGACACAGGAAGGAGAACGGAGATGGGGAAAGGAAGGCCATGCGCTGGATGCGGAACTGGTCAGTGCAGGCCAGGCCCCGCCGCAAGCGCGCGACACGCTGCAGGAGCGAGGGGGCGGGCGGCGCTGGATCCAACTCACCTGCCCATTCGCCGAGCTCCGGTCCGACCCCAGCCTCATGACCCAAACCCCAGACCCGAAAGGCCATGAAGAGCGAGTACGAGATGCGCAGGGTAAGGTAAGCCACGGTGCCCGCGCCCACCCAGTACAGGAAGCCGGCCGCAGGGAGAGCGCTCTCCATGGCTTCCAACCAGGCCTCACTAGCTAGGTGAAAGAAAAAAAAACTACTGAATGAACAATGGGAGAGGCACCGGCCGTGACGGTGAGAACCACCCTAATAGGCGCCGCTCGGATACCGCGTCTGGCCTGAAAACCTCCCACAACGGCATATCCGTGCCGCCATTGGTGATCTAGCGTCTCCTTGCGCGTAATACGTCAGCCATTGGCTAACTCCAGTTTCACTGCCCCGCCTATTCACCCTCCCCCGTGCGCATCCGGCCTTGCTTCCGTTCTAGGGAGGCTGATTGCTCGTGTGCCAATCAAGATTCAGCCCCACCAAATACGTCACCACGCCCCTGGGATTTCGACAGAGGGAAACATGTCTCACCGTGCCAATAGCCTACGTCTCTCGTTGCCTGTAGCAGGAAGACTGTACTCCGATCTGCCAATCAGACCCAGCCTGCTTTGAGCTCGGGTTTGAAGCTGCAATGGGATCAGAGATGCCACTAGAGAATGAGAAGTTCGCAGTAAGTGGACGCGGAGCCATGGTTTTATTTTCACCTCTTTATTAAATACTTCTGTATCATTGTTAAATGTGCTGTTATTGTTCCCATAAACTTTTCCTAATAAAGTCTTGTATCTCCCGTTCTATGCCTTCCCCACAGCACACCTTCACTCTGTAACACTCACTTACTGAGGACCTTCTAAATGCCGGGCCTCCCTCCCGCACTGAGCGTGAAACAGCATAGCTCCCAAAGTCTTGGAGTTCAAAGCAAACGACTTCATGGAGACAAATAACTAATACACAATGACATGAGGTGTAAGATAAATGAAAAAATATAGGAACACAGCTGGATAAACAATTAGTTTCGGGAAGAAACTCCATGTTTGAAATGGGCCTTAAAGAATGGTAGAAATTTTTTCTTCACTTTCTTTTTTATTTTCTTTTTTTTTTGTCGGGTGCGAGGAAGTGAGATGTGAGGGGGCGCAAAAGTGTTCAGTCCAACTAGAAGTATGGGAACTACCTCAGCAAAGTTCCAGAAGAGTAAGACCACAAGGTAAGTTTAAGAAATTGTGTAATGCAATAAAATGGTTCACATTTATTCTCTTATCCTGCCGTCAAGAGATTTTGTTTCCTTTTCTGGTATAAATTTGGGCTCATAGAAGGTACAGTTCTATTCCTGTTTTAACTAGCCTGGGAACTTAAACCTTTGAACTTCTCAGCCCTGTGTCAGTGCCTGAATATACATCAGACCTCCAGATAACCCTCTGATTACCCCCTGAAGGACTAAGAAAAGAAAGTTCATGTATCCTGACATCCATTATCCAGATCACCAGTCATCTGGAGGATTATCATCTTAGACCAAGCCAAACGCTAAGAATGCAAGACTGATTCTTAAGAATGTGCTTTTTACTATAAGAACTCTTAGCTTTTCTTTCTTCTTTGGAACACTCTTAGCATTGCCCAGTTGTGTTTCTAGTTTGCAAACTCTAAGAACCTTGAATAAATCTTTGTCATTTATTTCTAGCCATAGCCTCCAGACTCCTTTTGAGTCTGTTCAACACATGTCAGATGAATTAAGTATAACCCTAAGGCTGTGCTGTTCTTCATAAACTGTCAGTTGTATAGCAGAATTCAACCATGTGAGTTGAGCTGACACCATATTTTGTTTTAATTGAATGTGATACCTTTAGCTGGGGCAGCCTATCTAATTTAACTGAAGTCCCACTGCTATTCTCCTTCAGCCTCTCCCTGTTGTCAAAATCTTCACCTACAGTACAGCCCCAAATTTATATACCCAATTCATTGTTGCTCACCAGCAAAGGGCATTCTGGATATTCAGGCCCATTCTCCCCAGAATAGGGTGGAAGGAGGGTAGGAAAGATTTTTTAAACTAAAAATACATATTTTTGTTGCACTGTATGAAGGTCCATGGCCCCCACTAGAATTTATGATTATCAGGAACAAAATGCTGGGAATCCACAGGACCTAGAACAGTGCCTGGGACCTAGAGACCCTCAATAAATGTCTGACAAGTAAGCAGAAGTGAAGATACATTCAGTGCTCTAATTATATGTACCAGTAACAAAGTACTGGGTATACAATAGTGAGCAAATGATCAGTTCTTAGTCCTTATCCTGCTCTATCATTCATCAGTGGGTTGCCACTGTTTTCCTCACCAGCTACTCCTTCTCAGAGTCTTTTGTTGGCCCTTTCTCTTGCTGATCTCTAAATGATGCAATCCCCTTGGGCTCTGACCCCAGCTCCCTTTCCCTCATTACAGTCTCCTTACACAATTTCATCAGTCCCTTGGTTTTAAATACCAACTGTAAGCTGTTGTCTTCCAAACGTCTCTGGCCAAGCTCAATTTCTGCTCAGGAGTGTGTGTGTATCTACCTGCCTACTCAACATTTTCACTCAGATGTAAAATAAAAATAAACGTCTCAAACTTAACATTTTCAAAACAGAACTCTACCACCACACACACACACCCATCTCTTCCCATCTCTGTCAAAGGCACCACTATTTGCCCCCTTTCAAAGCCCTAAAACCTAGAGGTCAACCTTGATTCTTTCCTTTTTTTTTTTTTTACGCCTACAGCAGCCGGTCTTCCTAGGTGGTCTCCCATCCAAATACTAACCAGGCCCGACCCTGCTTAGCTTTTGATTCTTTTCTTTCCATTACACTCCCATGTCCAGTTCTTCAGCAAGTCTTGTTTATTACCTCAAA